AAATAATCAATACTAATGGAATAAATGAAGATTCCATTGAGTTCACATATATGTGTATGAATATATATTGAATAAAATAAGATTCCACGAGTTCATATATATGTATATATGAATATACAGTATATGAATCAATTTTAAAATATATTAATAAATTTTAAAATGAGAGAAAAAGGAAAGCTTTTCCTACAGCAGAATGTCAGTCAATAAAGGAGGTTAGAAAATCACTAATGAATGTTAAAATTAATGGGCAGTGGGTGAAAGTCTGATAAGGAACAGGATATTTATATAATTGCAAAGCATCTTGTCAAAAGTTACTTTTTAACTGCCAAGAACAGCAACTCTTCAGAAGAAAACATAGTAGATGCCACCTTAGTTAAGTGATTAAAGCTAACATCACCAAGATACAGGCAAATGCAAATTGAGGGACATTCTACTCATAAAGAATGTATCTATACTCTTTAAGAAAAATCTAGTAACCTAGATAAAATTAGAGTCTATAATACTAAATTATCTTTCACAGAAACAAAGAACGAGTTTCACATATTCTCACTCATAAGTGGACCTCGAACAACTATCATAATACTATATAAGAAAATGATTGAAATAGCAGGAAAATGCAGAGGGGCTGGGGGAGGGCGGAGAGGTGGGACTGACAGAAGTGGAAATCTGCCTGGGAAAGGAGGGGCACAACTCATCAACAAGGGTATCTATCTGTACAATGAATATTTGGATACCTAACCCTGAATTGTACCCCACACTTTTAAAATAGAAAAATTTAAAAGTTAAAAAAAAAGAAAAGAAAAATCAAGGTCAAGAAATACAAAGAAAGGCTAAGGAAATGTTTCAGATGAAGGGAAACTAAAGAGACATGACAGTCATGTGTTCAGAGATTTCTCCTGGACAGGGAGAAAAAAATAAAGTTTGTAGTATGTTTTATAAACATATTATTGGGACAATGACTATGTCCTTTGGACTAGGTAACAGTATTGGTTCAGTGTTAAATTTCTTGACTTTGATGACTATTTCTTGACTTTGATTGATCAGTGTTAAACTTCTTGACTGATGACTAAGTAAGAGAATGTCCTTGTTTTTACAAACGCACACCGAAATATTTAGGGACAGTGGAGAATAATGTATCCTACTTCCTCTCAAATAGTTAATAAAAATATGCATATAGATATAAATTTATTAGAGGAAAAATAATAAAGCAAGATGTCAACAACTGGTAAATCTAGGTACAATGTATATGGGAGATCCTTGTACTATTCTTATTGTATTTTTCCTGTATGTTTGAAATTATATCAAAATAAAGGGTTCTAATTAAAAAAGAAATTCAGAAAATGACAAAGTTAATCATCTACAATGCCACTACGCCAACAATTTTTCTATATTCATTTTTCCATACTGTTTCTTCTAGTTCTTGTTTATGAGCATGCATACAATTGCCATCATTACACAGAATCGCCATCACTACACAGAAAAAATTTTACTTCTAACTTTTAACTTCTTCTACCATCTAGGATCTTCAAATAACACCCACTAGGCTAAACTTTCAAGCTAACTTAATTTCCCATTTAAGAAAAAATTGCAACAATTCAAATATGCCTCAACCAAGGATGGATAAACAAACTGGTATTTCCATACAATGGAATACTACTGCTGAGCAATAATAAATAAACACACACATAAATAAATAAATAATAAAAAGGAACAGGTTACTGATGCACACAGTAATGTGGCTGAATCTAAAACGCATTATACTAAGTGAAAGAAGTCATACTCAAAGCCTTTTTTATTCTATTCACATGACATTCTACAGAGGCAGAAAACACGTCAGTGGTTGCCAGTGGCAAGAGGGGAAGAGGAAGGACTGACCACAGAGGAGGTGTACAAGGAATTTGGAGGGGGTGACAAAACTGTCCAAAATCTTGTTTATGGTGGTAGTTATATGGTGTGTACAACTGTCAAAACTTGAGGAAAAATTGCAAAGATGTGGAATCAACATAAGAGTTCATCAACCAATGAAAACGTTTCTCTCTCTCTCTCTCTCCATGGAAAATTACTCAGCCATCAAAAATAAACAAATAATGTCTTTTGCAGCAACTCAGATGGAACTGGAGGTCATTATCCCAAATGAAGTAATTTAAGAACAGAAAATTACACACCACATGATTTCACTTATAAGCGAGAATCAAACTGAGAGTCTGCTAAGGCATACAATGTGGTATAATGAACATAAAAGATTCTGAAAGAGGGAGGGAAGTGAAGGGTGAAAAATTACCTATCAGGTACAAGGTAATGGGTACACTAAAAACCCTGACTTCATCACAATACTATATATATATATAACTTGTACTTCCTAAAGCTACTGAAATAAAAAAAACACTTAAATTTTAAAAAGCCTTGTGGAAATATACTAAAAAGAGTAACTTTTACTGTATGCAAATTATATTTTAATTAAAAAAGAAGAAACAAAGTTGGGTTTTAAAAATGGGTTTCATTTAACAGAATAAAGAATGCAAACCTATGCCCAGTCTGTACTATAAATGTTCTCCACTTATATAAAATTAATAGGATATTATAATACAAAGTCAATATTCAGCTCAAAACAGATCTAAATTAAAGTTAAACAGGAAATTCTCTTAAATATGACCTCGCTCATTAATTTTTCATAACCCCTGTTGCAACACTAAACATTACTCCTCCACACTATTGCAATAGCATTCCTGGCCTCTGGTGTCTCCACCATCCAACCTAAAGAAACACCAGACTGATCTACCTAATATACCATATAATCACATGCTCTTTTGCTACAACCCATAGATGCTATAGGATAAATTTCAAACTCCTGAGCATAGCATGTGAAGCATTTCAAAGCATAATCCAACCTAATGTTACTGTCACCTACACAGTACTGGCTCTGCCTCTTGATCTAGGCACAGAAAATATTCTCCACCCATACAGCACAACCACTTACCAAACCACCTTTTATCTTCAAATCCCTGTACCTATGTACACACCAGAAATGCCTTTCCCCTACACTTCTGCTGGGCAATCCTAGTCATCCCAGCTCAAATTTACTTTCTTCATAACAATTTCTTCCTCTTTGCTCCTCTGTACCAGGAACTTACCTCTAAGCTTCTATAGCATTTTGAAAAACATCTGTCTGCCTTTCCCACATACTTAGAGGACCATACTTAGGGGGACCTAAGCATGCAGCAGTTGTTCCATCAAAGTTAGTTAAAGAAGTAATTAGATAGCTACACGAATATGATGACTATGGTGGCTCTTTATAGGGTGGTTTTTACTAAGGATTTTCAACTCCAAATATGAACTGGATGGGATGTCAGAGCTCAGTTCAGAACCAATGAACCAGATTTAGGAGGAAACAAGATTAAACACCTTTTATACCAACTTAATAAACATTTACCCACTGTGAGAGAGATTTTAGGAGCAGAAAAAATAAGTCACAATCTTAGGCTTCAAGGATTTCATGTAACAAAGGGAATAAAAAGAATCTAGATACACTGCAACCAAACCAAAATTGGATAGTACCCAAAAAGGAACAAACTGCTATGGATATTCCAAGGGAGATGGTACTTGAAACGGGCCTTAAAGATAGATTTTTTTTACAATAGAAATGATATTCTGGGCAGAGAAAGAAGAGTGAAAAAGACAAAGGAAAAGAGGCCCAAGAGCTTGTAAAAGGTAAGACCACAATGGACTTGGTAAAAGAAGTGTGTTGCATATCTTTCGTGGAACAAAAAGTGTGAATAAATGATTAATCGCCAAGAATTTCAAAAGAAAAAAAGAATCAATGTTAAAAGCTACAGCAGGGTTAAAGAAAATAAGGAGGGAAAATAAGGACGAGGACATTCAATTTCATTCAGATCACTGGTAGCCTTATCTGACCACAGTGGCTAGGTAAAGAATTAGACTGAGGTGTTACAGCTTGAGAAAACAAAGGTGGCTCAGTATAAAAAGAGAACAATTAAGATGGAGAAAAATAGATTTTTAGACTAGGGAAGACCTGGACCTGTTTGCTGACAGAGATAAGGGAGCCAATGGAAAGAAATATGTTAAGATTCAAGGCCGGGCGCAGTGGCTCAAGCCTGTAATACCAGTACTTTGGGAGGCCAAGTTGAGAGGATTGCCTGAGCCCCCGGGTTCGAGACCAGTCTGGGCAACACAGCGAGACCTCATTTCTACAATAAATCAAAGAATTAACTGGGCATGGTGGCGCTTGCCTGTAGTTCCAGCTACTTGAAAGGCTGAGGCAGAAGGATCACCTGAGCCCTGCAGGTCGAGGCTGCCATATCAGTGAACAGCATGCCGCTGCACTCCTGCCTGGGCGACAGAGTGAGACAACGACTCAAAAAAAAAAAAAGATTCGAAAGAGAGTGTATATAATAGATGGAACAAAGTTACAGAAAGTGGATGAACAACAGCATGCAAAGAGGAAAGGAAGGGGGCGTTTTCCTCTGGGAAGGAGGAGCACTTCTCTGGGAGAGGGGCAAAGAAGCTGCAGGATCCCAGGAGGGACCGGAAAGAAGGTGCCGAGGAGCACAGGCATCTGAAGGGAGGAAGAAAATCAGCAGGAGACTGGCAGAATCCTAGCAACGATAAAGGCTTGGCTGGCTTCAGAAACATGCCTGTGCAGAGCTCCGGTCACCGCAGTCCATGACTGTCTCTAGCCCGCCTCGGCCGGGAGGCTGTGAGGGGCACTGCCCCAAATCACCCAGGTTCCAGGGCGGAGACCCTGCCCTCCTCGCAGACTTCTAGCTCAGTACTCTCTTTGACCATGCTGTCTCCTTTGAGAACATCATTTTCCTCAAGCTGATTAAAAGCTAGTAGCCATGTTATTAAAACAAGGTAACACGATACTTTTCTTTGAATGCTAAGTAAGACAACACAATCAGAATTTTTTTACACGTGAAACACCACGAACTGCGAAAAGTCAGAGTGATCAATTAGCAGACAAAGCTCAGAACGCCAGGTACCTGGCCGCTTCGGGGAAGCCCATCCTGTAGAGTGTCACAACCACAGCTCCTCCGAGGCCTAAATTGTGCTGCAGGGCCACCTTTGCACCGGGAACTTGCCTCTTTCCGGCTTCCCCTCTCAGCTGCCAGCAGAGTTCTGCACACTGAGCCAGACCTAACGAATCGAACACAGAGCCGTCAGTCTGCCGGATTAGGAAGCTGCCTCAATCTGCTTTCCTCAAATCAGGAAAGGGCTCATGTTAAGTGTGACTTTTAATCAAAGCATTTGATTAAGCTGAGGCCATCTGTGCCCAAATAATTGCCCTTGAAGTACCGAAGAATTTTTCAGCTAGTTATTCTCCTCCTAAGTAACCTCTGTATTAAGACAAAAACCAGGCTTAAGAAATTCCTTGCACTCTTTAAACTTATTCAACTTGTAGTTTTCTGGCACGTTGAAAGAGCAAACATTGAATTTACAATTCTCGGGAAAATGGCATAAAATAATTTAATTAACTTTAACTTTACCATTTTGAATGTACCCAAATAAACTAAACAAGGATTTGGGAGTTCACATTCCCTACAAAATTTAGCTGGTATAAAGAATTTTTCTCATTATTTTCCCCAAGTAGTTCCCAAGAGGAATGAATTGCTTTCTAGACTTATTCACACTATTCATAAGAAAAGCTCTAGATTTACGAGAATAACATTCTGACTCCTGGATAATAAAATCAAAGATTTTTCAGGGGTGAAAGAAACTTACTGATATAAACCACGAGAAACAGAAAGGTTAAATAATCTGTGAATGGTCACAACGCAGCCTAATTCCATCCAGAGTTGAGACTAGAATCCATAACTCCAGATTTACATTTGTCTATCATACCAGCTATTGAAGGATAGCTAAGTTACGAATGTTCTATCCGGATAGACAGGTTTCTCTGTCCTAGGGCAGAGCTCTAGCAGGCTACCTATGTGTCTATTCTTTCACCCACACTCCCTGTCACAACTTCTGATTCCTGAGTACCTGTGACAGTTTCCTTTATAAGCCCAACCTCCCCAAGAGATTTAACTGCTGCTTTTCATTTCTAAGCAGTGTTTATATCAGAGTATACATCCTAAACACTGTTTTAAAATAGGTAGTTCCACACCTTGTAATGATTTTTTTGAATCATGAACATTTTAAAAATAAATAAGGAAGGTCAAATTGAAGTGATTCCAATATACCCAAGTTTAGGGGTAATCAGTTTTACTAGAAATCTGCCTTATAAAAAGCCTAAAAAATATGTTAAAAAAAAGTATTCAAACTAGTCTTACATACACATGGGTGGGGAAATACTGCTAGCTGTCCTCACAAAAGAATAAATAGATGTGGTTATAACAATTTGAACAAACACTCAACCTCATCGTTGATCAACTCAAATAGATATCATTTTAAACCAATCCAATTGGTAAGAATGTTTAAAAATGGTAATAATCAGCCGGGCTCAGTGGCTCAGCCTGTAATCCCGCGTCTTTGGGATGCTGAGGTGAGTGGATTGCCTGAGCTCACGGGTTTGAGACTCGCCTGGGCAGCGAGACCTCATCTCTACAATAAATCAAAAAATCAGCTGGGCGTGGTAGCGCATGCCTGTAATTCCGGCTACTCAGAAGACTGAGGCGGAAGGATCGCTGGAGCCCAGCAGGTCGAGGCTACGGTGGCTGGGAGTGGCCACTGCACTCCAGTCTGGGCAACAGAGTGAGACTCCAACTCAAAAAAAATAAAAATAAATAAAAATTTTAAAAATGGTAATAATCAATGTCTGTGAAACTATGGCAAGATAGTCACCTCCCTACAGAACTGGTAAAAGTTCAAACCAACACCTTTTGTACAGTTATTAAGACTCTAAAATACCTTGAAAACAATGCTATAGAAATAGAATAATCTAACTGATTTTACAATTTTTAACATATCAAAAGAAAATAACAAGGATTTGTAAATTTGTTTTCTCTAAAATATTTAGCTGGTGTAGGGAATTTTTCCTATTATTTTCCCCAAGTAGATCCCAAGAAGAACGAATTGTTTTCTAGACCTAGTCAAAGATTTTTGCCTTTGTGTAGGCAAAGTTTTACACACAAAGCTATCTGTTCATCACAGTCATACCCATGAAAAACTAGATTATCTAGAACTGAAATAACTGAGGAATTGTTATGTAGGGACCAGGGGGAAACTTGCCTCTGAAAGTCTGCTAAAAAATCAACTTTCAAAAGTCAGATTAATTGGAGAAAAGGCAGACGCATTTATTTAACATGTATACACAAGAGTCTTCAGAATGAAGATACAAAGATTCAAGGAAAATTGTTCATTTTTATGCTTATGTTCAACAAAGTATGGACAGCTGTGTAGAAATATGATTGGACCAAAAAAGTATGATCTAATGCTACTAGACGGGGGAAACTCAGTAAGGCCTGTCATTCTCCTGGTTCTCCCTAAGCACACATTTCTTTCTTCTGGGTATGAGGTAGGACCCTCTCTGGAATGAGGGTATTATGACCTAAAATCAAACAAGGTAAGTCAGATAATTTCTATTTTTTTTTTTTTTGAGTTGGAGTCTCACTCTGTTACCCAGACTGGAGTGCAGTGGCCGCTCCCGGCCACCGCAGCCTCGACCTGCTGGGCTCCGGCGATCCTTCCACCTCAGCCTTCCAAGTAGCTGGAACTATAGGCACGCGCTACCACGCCCAGCTAATTTTTTGATTTATTGTAGAGATGAGGTCATGACACTTCACACATACAAACAATAACCAGTTAGAAAAAACACCGCTTATGATGCAACAAAGAAAACGAAATAGTTAAAAAGCTTATCATGAAGCGTGGGAAACCTATATGAGGAACATTTTTAAAACACTTTTACAAAACACCAGAGTAGACTTGAACAAACTGAA